AGTAACAAAAGTCGTCGATAAAAAAATAATAACAGTAGTCCTAAAATTGATCCATGTTTCGGTTTTTCGAACTGAAAACATTCGCAACGTATTCAAGTTACGGGTTTATATAGCTTCTATTTTTCTTTTTCGGTTTTTTTTTAACATATTGCGACTGTAAGCACTCGTATGTTCTTAAACTTAACAGGGAAATATAGGTAAATCGCCTTGCAACTCCAAATATATACTATATGCATAATGCTTGAATGAGTTGTTAGTCCACCTTTAAAATCGTTTCAAAGCGAATCGTCAAATAGAATAGACTGCCAAATTTCTATACAAAAAGCTAAGTCGAAAAAAAAAAAAAATCTACAGAAGCTCGCGTCTCTTGTAAGAAAAAAAAAAAAAAAACGCTTCATATAGAGACAATCAAGAAAAAAGTATATTTATAGAGTTTCGCTTCCGTTGCTTAACTTTTTAAGGCTTCAGCAATATTAACTACGAACCAATGGACAAATTAGCAAAGCTCTATATGAATATGATGTTACAACAAAAAATAAGCTGTCGGTTTTGCGTAGAATGAATACATGGCCGATTCAAAAGCGTATTTTTTCTTAAATGCTATTTTAATCAAATACTTTTCTGATAATTTTTATCTAGTGATTGTGATTATAAAGCAATAAATATAATTTAATAGTTTACGGCCAGCGGGCCGGTTTACAGAAACGATTGAAAAGCGATATAGAATTACTTCTCTACAGGATTACGTAAACACTTTCAAAAAACATCAAAGAAAAGGAAGTGAAATAATTTCTTGTTTTTTTTTTTTAAGCAAAAATAAAATTTATTATTAACTTTTTCTTCCTCTTGCTTTTTTATTTCCAATAATAAATATTATTCTTTCTCCGCCATACTTTCGCTGAAATTAAGAGAAATTTCACAAATATTTTTACAAAATTTATATAATAAATTAAAAGAACATAAATATAAAATAAACGCAAGACATATTCTAATGAAACAAATTAAAAAAAAAAAAAAAGAAAAGAAAAGATAATCGCTCTTGAGTCTACACATTAGTGATAAGGAGGTTTAGCTTCTTCAGCTATCCAGAGCGTGGAACTTGTAACAGAATATCGAAATTTTTAATACAAATTTTTTATACCACACGCAGGAAACTGAAGATTTTTATATACATATGTACAAGTTGGGAGACAAAAAAAAAAAATTCCAAATATGGCTTTGTTTGTTTAAAAAATTAATTTGCAATAAACAAATTTTTTTTATTTTTTTATTTTATAGTAAATCACTCACGGGATGTCCCGTATTCGTGTAGCACAGAGCCAGTCAGAAGAAAGAGAGGGAATAAGAAAGAGAAATGGAGGAGTGGAGATCGCAGCCTAATGCGGGTGTGTTGTCTTAAACCGACTGAGCACTCACTACAGCTAGGACTGAAGTAAGCTGTAGCGCACTTGAGATTTGAATCCGCGAATACTGAGTTGATTGTCGCGATTCTTACATGAAATTGAATAGGAGAAAAGAAACTCTTTAAACGTTAAATTTTTTAATAAGATTTTTTATTATTATTATTATTTTCATTATTATTATTAATTTTATTATTATTATTTATTACCATAATTTTTTTTTTAAGGTTTTTCGTATATGGTTGGTTGGTGGTAAGAACCGTTTTGTGTTGACTTGTCTGTGATTGATTACTACTTTATTGTATAGTTTTATTATTAATTAAATTTTTTTTTTTTTTTGTTTTCTTTTTTTATTTTAAATTTGTATTTAGTTTCTATTATTTCAATTTTAATTTCGTACAATTTACATAATTTTCTTGAAGGAATATTGAGGACAATTTTTCTCATTTATATAATTTTTAGCTTTTTCCCTAGAATTCTATTTCATTTTATATATAGATATATATATGTATATATATTTATAAGTATGCATTTATGTCTTACTTAAATTTTATTAATTTTCATACAAATGTTCAACATGTAAATTTCACAAGATTTCGTGTTTTTGTTTTTTTTTCTTTTTGTCTCTTTTATTTTTTGGAATTTTTTTTTTTTTTTTTTTTTTTTTTTTTTTTTTGATGTTTTGTATAATTATTAAAACAAAATAATATTTAAATGAAAACTGAGGCAAAAATTAAATTTAGAAAAAATAAAAAATAAAAAAAATATACTTCCTAAATATAACGTTGAAGAAAAGTAATTAAACTAAAAATAAGCAAAGAGAAATATGTAGTGTAGTCGGTGCTGTTGCTGCTGTTGCTGCTTATACCCACCAACCAATGAGAGGAATATCAACTTTAATATGAAGTCTTTAAAAAGCAATGATCATTTATTCAATCGTTCATCTGAGAAATTTAAATTAGCCTTCATCAGTGCCTAGCTAAGTGATAAAGGTCAATTTTGTTAATGAGAAATGCATATAATTTACTCTAAAAGAAACTTCCAACTGAAGATAAGCGCAATCTTATACCCATGTTACAAATCAAAATTCCTTGGCCAATACTTTAGTTTTGTATTAATTTATCATAAGAATGATTCGAATTGATTAACTTTTCTTGCATATTTAAACTAACTTCTCTAATAACATTTCACTAGTGAGAAAGCGCAAGAAGGCGTGGCGTGATTTTCATACTTTATCATAGAAAAATTGCTTTATTTTCTTTCATATATATGCTATAATAGCGATAGTTGTTGTACTCAAATTTTACTGAATGAAAACTAATGCTTTTACCGTAGCTTTGTTAAAATTCAAATCAACTTTAGACATAGATGCTCACTACATGTTCATTTACATGAAAAATGCCGCTCGATTGACGCAAGAATCGAACTATTGATAATGAAGTTTGATGAGGAGCATCCTTAGGGAAAGATTCGATAACATGTCACTGGTAGCTAAAGATGAGAAAGTCAACTGTAGTTTCTTTCAGAATGGCTCTAGTTATCTTCTTCTTTTAGGTTATGTATATATATATATATATATATATAAGTTTCGTTAAAGAAAAGTGGTAGTAACATGTGATTTAAAAATAGAAATGGTTTAACTATTATTAGCATTTCATTTACTGCTTTCATATCGGGTCTCTAAACGGAAAGCCAAAAATTCTATTTAGTTAACGGACGCACAGGTTGGCCTTTTTTTTTTTTTTTTGTTAAAAGAAACTGCTATTCAAGAGAAATATTTAGAAATTATATAAAAAAAAAAAAAAAAAATTCTCAAAAAATATTTGCTACAAAGTTTATAACTTGAATGAATGAAGATAGGATAGAAAAGATTTCATTTTTTATTTTGCCATTTTGTGTTTTGTTTTCCTGGTAGAAAAATAACGAAATTTTTTTTTTTTTTTTGTTCTTTTAAATGGAAAATCTTATTCAAATAAGAGCGACTTGAGTTCGATATATATGTATGATCTTTTCCGTTTAGTCTTCATAATGATAAGATGTGGTGGGTATTAAAAGATGCGGCTCGAGTCAAGTATAACTTTTCTCGCTTTCTTTTCTGTTCTTTTATGTACAATAATTTTTGAATTTTATATACAGAGCTTACAGCTACATAAGGTTTTTTTCGTTTGAATAATTTTAACTAATATGCTTCTTTTTTTTTTATTTTTTAATAATTTTCTTCCTTTTGTTTTTGTTTATTTCGTTTTTATTTCAATTTAACCCTTGCTGGAAATTGTCAGGGAAGTAGATCGTTTTTTTGTTGGGTGTGAAAAGAAGGGGACGGGAGGTGGTCGGAAGTTGAGGCGACAACGGTAACGGTAACGGGTAAGAGGAAGCGAAAAAGTTAGTAGTTTACGTTACGTTAATTCTAGATAAAGTGTAGTTTGTATGTAAAATTTTACAATTGTTTTCATACATACAATATCTATATGTTTTAATGATTTTTTTTTTTTTTTTTTTTTTTTTTTTTTTTACAACTACAAGTAAGTAGACCTACATCAACTGTATTTTTCTGACTAAATAACTAAGACTTCTTAAGACGTTACATTGCGCTGTGTGTGTGGGGAATGTCATCAATTGGAATTGTGCTCCTATTCGCGGGGCTGATGTAAACGACTTATTATGTAGTTTTAGTGTTTAGCTTAGTTTTGTTTTTCCACAATCTTATTTCTTTTTCTTTTTTTTTTTTTTTTTGTTTATATTTAAATAAATTCTTGCATAGCTTTGTCTTGTAATAGTTTCTGCTTTTTTTTATTATTTATTTATTTTGTTATTTATTTATTTATTTTATTTGTTTTGTTTTTTAATAAATTTCTACACTTAGATCGATTCTAGTGACTTAACTATTTACACGACACGTGAAAATAAACAAAAAATGTTAATTAAAAAAAAAAAAAAAAAAAAAAAAATTTAAATCAATAAATATGTAGGGTACTCTGCCGCCATACGTCCGGACTGAGATTGCATGCATCGCATATTAACTGTAGTTTCAAAATTGTTTGAAAGCAAGATTGTTGTGTTAAAAAGTGTGTAGAAAACAAAACTAATTGCATTTAATAATAGAAAATTACCTTCTATTTGCAAAACACGTTCCTTAGGGTAGGTTTTTCCCCCTTCTGGGGTTTGCTTTCATTTCATTTTTTTTTTTTTTTTTCTTTTTTTCCATTTTCAATTAATTATATTAATTTTAACACTTTTTAACACAATTCAGTTAACACGAACTTAGCCGGCACTCATAATTTTTATTGATTTAAATTTTGTTTTTTTTTTTTTTTTTCTTTTGTGAGAGCATTTTTTACTTAAAGTATATTTTTTATAAAACATATTTTATAGCATATAATATATATATGTATATATATATATATATATTAAAAATTATAATAATAGTAATATAAACCAACTAAAATTGTTTTAAAACATCACTTTGTAACTTGTTTGATTTAAATTGCCATCTTCGTCTTCTTGTTCTTAGAGTTTTTAACAAGTTTTTTAAAAAAACTTTTTATTCACTTTATTACGTTTTTTACTAAATGTTTTATTTTATTTTTAATCTTTTATTTATTTTTTTTTTTTTTTCTATGCTCTCCTCTTATTCATGTGTTTTTCCATTGCTTGCGACAGCGAGTTTTAAAAAAAAGTTTTCCCGGTTTTCTTTCCGTTTTGTTTTTCCTATGTCTTATATTTCGATATTAACACAGACAAATGCACTGGCTTAGCTCTTGATTGTTAAAGCAAAAAAAAAAATAAAATAAAATAAAATACAAATTAAATTAAATAGAAAGAGTGTTAAATGATAAAACTCCAAATTTCACAACGTTAGCTAATAACCAACGACCACAATTAGAAAGTAAACATTCCTTTGTCACTATCCTGATTAGTGATCCGCGCTTTTTGACTAATGCTTGTTATCATATATATCCTACCATTTGGTTTTTTCTACATGTGGCCCTAAAAGCTAATAGTTTAAGAGGACTCGTAGCCAAACCAAGCGGCTGAAGCTGCTGCTGCTGCAGCAGCTGACGTATGCTATTCACCGCTACCACCGAAGGAATTAAAATGGCGCACTGCTCCTGGTGCTGCGGCTGCACCAAATTGTAAGCTCCATTCAAACAATCGTCTCGCATGTAATTGTTGTTGTTGCTGTTGATGATGATGGTGCTGCTGATGTTGATGATGGTGATGCTGATGTAATGAATGTGGATTTAAGTTTAAATGATGCATACCCGCTGCTCCACCAACACCCAAAGCCGAAGTAACCGACGATGGCGATGCTGCTGAGGAGGACGCTTGTAAGATACCACCGCTACTACTGCCTGCTCCCGGTGACGTTTGAGATTGTTGTAGATGCTGGTGATGATGCGTGCCGGCGCTTGTGTGTTGCAAGGCTTGATCGCTGGTATGAAATAAGTGCGGATGATGGGCGGGATTTAAATGAGGATGCTGATGGTGATGATGATGCTGATAGCGCATTGGATCGATATACATGGCAGCTGCTGCAGCAGCTGCTATGGACGATGCTTGCTGCTGTTGTTGTTGCTTAACCTGAGCTAAGTGTTCATTATCGTTGTTATTATTATTATTATTATTATTATTCGTATTATTATTGTTGTTATTATTATTGGCAGCGTTGGCTGAATTCGATCCAAGAGGACTTTGAGGAGACAACACATTTGAGGTCATTGTCGCTGACGAACCAGCAGACGACGATGGTGTATTCGATGTATGATGTTGCTGGTGCTGGTTATGTTGCTGTTGTTGTTGCTGCTGTTGTTGCTGCTGATGAAGGGAGGCAGGAGTCGACGCAGCTGCAGCTGAGTTCGGCTCCTGGATTTCTGATTGCTAGTGGGCCGCTAACTGATGACCTGCCGCTGTTTGCATATTCTGAGGACTCAGCATGGGTGGGCTGTGACTATGACTGTGTGTTCCCATTGGACTACCATGCATATCATGGTGTGGATGATAACCCGCATGCGGATGCATATGACCCGGTGGCATGCCATCCATCATGTCGCCACCCATAGTATTTGGCGGCGTCATACGTTTCTCCTTCTGCCTTCTATTGCAAAACCATACTCTCACGACCTCCTTTTCCAACTGGAGGGTGTCAGCTAGTGATGAAATTTCCTGTGCAGATGGCTTTGGCTGTTTATGAAAGTGCTGTTCCAGTGCCCCTTTAACGCTCACCTCAATGCTAGTGCGCTTCTTACGTTTACGGCCTTGTGCAGCAATTTTATCGATGCTGGTCGGTGATCCAGTTGTCGAATCAGCCTCCTCCAACCACTTTTGTAATAACGGTTTCAGTTTACACATATTTTTAAAGCTCAATTGCAAAGCCTCAAATCGGCAGATTGTCGTCTGTGAAAAAACATTACCATAGAGAGTGCCTAACGCCAACCCTACATCAGCTTGTGTAAAACCCAATTTGATGCGACGCTGTTTGAATTGTTTGGCAAATGCTTCCAAATCATCTGATGTAGGTGTATCTTCTTCGCCACCGCTAACATCACGATCGCCTTGCATATGGTGCGAATGTAAGTGTAGCTGTGGGGACTCGCCTCGCAGAGCGTGAAGCGGCGTCACGCCTTGATGATGAGCAGGATGAGCTGGATGTAACATACCATTCATGGCATGATGATATTGCAAGGGTGAACCACCAGTGGGACCATAATGAGCGGCTGCATGTACTGGAGCATGCCAGGCGTGAGGCGAGGCCATTCCTTGTTGTACCCTGGGCTGTTGCGAAAGATGAGACATTTCTTGCTTGACGGCATCGGCAGGATGATGGTGAGAATGATGAGACGGCAATCCCCAATGATCCGTAGGATGCAACGAAGGCCAAGAGCTAAGACCCCCTGTAGGCGTAACTGAGCTCAGAGAACTTGCAGAGACTCCTGTGCCACTGCCACCAGGGCCACCGCCACCACCTCCCGTTCCAATTGTACTCGGACTAGGTGATGAAGGTAATTGGTGATGCGCGGCCGCCGCCGCAGCCGCATGATGGTGATGATGATGTTGCATATATTTCATTTCACCGGCATCGGTAGCTGATCGAGGCGATGAAGTGTGGTAACCACCACCCAGTGCCATATCCAGCTCACTGCTGGACGGTGTCATATACGAGGTGGCGGCCATCCCCACCGCTCTAGGGCTATTCAAGCCCTCCACGCTGGCGGGGTAGGGCTCCAAGTTGGGGCTCAGTTTAACGACTTTGAAAACCGATCTGTCGAAAGAAAGACCAGGGTCCCTATGCTCATTCCACTCGAACCGTGAGGCAACCGTCTTGAAGTCTTGCGTTTTACAGGCAACAAACGAGAACTATTTCAAACGTTGAGCAGCCCTCAAGCTTGTCTCAACAAAATCTACCAAAGCAAAATAAATCTTCTAAGACAACGAGCAACAAGTTGATTGAAACCGACGGTCTCCTCTTTAAGTAACTTTGCTTTGCTACAAAATATCAATTCTTTGCGTGTGTGTGCACTCTACTCTTCTTTAAATTCGTAATTAGTATGAGGATTTATTTATTAAATATGCTGGCTTATCGACGCTGAACACTGATTAAAGATTGTTATGACTCTAATATGATGTTGACTGACACTTTATTTAAAAATTATTTATGCGAATTTTCAATTCAAATCGCTTTTCACCACTTGTTTTTAATTATTGCTACCACGGTTAACCCCAAATAAATAAATTTTTTTTTTATTTTTTTTTTTTATTTATAATTTTTTTTTTTTTATTTTTTAATTTTGGTTTTTTTCCTTTTTTTTTTTTTTTTTTCTTTCTTTTTTATTTTTTTATTTATTTATTTTTTTTTTCAGAATTACTATTAATTGATGATTTTTAATTTTCAAAAACCTTTAATTTTCATTTATTTCCGCACTGGCGATCTGTATGCGCGGCGTCATTCCAAAGAATGTTTAACAAGAGCCGTTTTCCTATATTATTGAGTAGAGTGTGTCTAACGCGATCAGACAAGTTTAACTTTTTCTGTTTATTGTTAGTTTTCTAATAAGCGCAGTAGTCTGTGACAAAAAACAACACATTTGTCAAATGCTTTTTTTTTTTTTTTTTTTTCTTTAACTTGTTTATTTGCTTTTTTTTAATGCGGAGGCACTGAGATATTCACGTGCAAACTCGTAGAGCTATCGAAGTGAACTAACGTCATGCATCGTCAAACGGAGGTACAGAGAGTAAGCAGAAGGTAAAAAATTGTTTTGTGAGCTCACACAGAACACACAGATATTGTACCTCACAAGTCATGACACGCATACATACAGATTGAGATAAGAACAAGCACAATGCTTTACTTCCAGTTAAATAGGCACGAATGAGAAGCCCTGGCAACCAGCCGTAAATACAAATGAGTAAGCGAGAGAATTAAAGATGTGCTTAATACAGCTATGAATGAAAAACAAAAATGACTAACTATTGGAAATTATGTTAGTCAGACAGAGATAACATAAATTCAAATTGGATTCCAATATGTTACCACCATGACTGGAAAACAAATACAACACACGTAAGTATTATTATTTAATAATAAAGAGCGCATTTCTCTCTCTCTTTCCTTGCACTGTATATTGATAATATGTAAACTAATCCGGAAACCAAAGTTTTAAGAGCACGCTCAACATTATTCCATTGCTACGCCTATTCGAAGACAATAATGCTAACAGCAATAGCCAGCCAGTGTTTCTGTTTCTACTTCGCTGTCATCATTTTACCGTCATTATTATGAACATATACACATATAAACTTAACAACCACAAAAGACACAACAGAATGACATTTTTAATTATATATAGAGTTTACCTTTTAAGTGCTAGAAAGAGAGCAGTGAACTAACACAACGTTCATGTACTTCTCTTGCCAACGCTATTACAACAATTAACAACAATGGACAAGGGAACATCAATTCTCTAAACAATTACAATAAAATGCAAGGCAATGCAATTCAAGCTGTTATCAGTATCGGCATGAAACAGTACAACACACAAGAGCCAACAGAAAAATATTTTTTTTTAAAGAATAAGCTAAAACCAACGTAAGCGTTTACTCCTGCAATAAAACTTATCTCCCAAGCTCTTTTCTTATTAGAATGTATATAGGAATAACAGCAACACCAGTTGTCTGTAGAAAAAGGGGAATTTCTTGCTTTGTTTTCTTCTTTTTTTTTTTCCCGTATTTTTTGCAACATACACACAAGCGGATACTCTTACATATTAGGAGATATTCCCGCGCGCTCAAATTCAATAGAGGCGAACACTCCAATTGAAGCGCTGCTACGCCTGCAAGGAGACTGTGCTGTATGCTGAGCGAAGCTTCAGTTGCTGTTTAGCTGCGATTGTTGTTCCTTTTAAATGTACGCGTCATTGTAAATCGGAAAACAAAAATCCTTTAGGCGTACAGAACGCGGACTAACGAAACGGCATACTTTTCTACTTTTTCCAGTGTTTATTACTTCATATCCAAATGCAGGGCCACTTGAGGTCGGACAAAATTAAATGGAAACAGGCATTGCCTCATTAAGCAAAATAAAAAAAAAAAAATAATAAAAAGAAATAAAAAAAAAAACGCGAAAAAAACAAAAAAAAAAAAAAAACAAACAAAAACAAGAAGAAAAAAACCCAACAAAAACAACAATGTGTTTCAGGTGTATGTGTATGTATGTAGCAACATAATAGTTATAAGTATTAATGGTCACTGCGTAAGTCTATTTAATTGTGGGTGGTGTCACTTACGCCTGACTGGCTTAACCCTGTCCAAACATTTATTGCAAAGTTTAACATTAACATCATTTACATGTCAAATATTTTGAAAACGAATTTCATTCACGAATTCTCTTTCACCTGAATGCAATAATAACAAAAATGAAATTGTAATTTATATTCAAATTTCTTATCAAAAAATTTGCAAAAACAACTTACACAGAAGGCAATGATAATAAATAGAACTCTGATCAATAAAAATATGTGTTAAGTGCATTACAATTTGTGTATATATTGCAATAATAAAGTAAAAAAAGAAGCAGGTTATCAATATTTATGTTTAATACATAATTAATAAATAATAATATATGCATAGTATATAAAAATATTAAAGAATTATTTAAAACATTTGATATAACTATTATTCTAGAGCTTTTCTTTTACATTTTATTTTTTTTATCTCTCCTGTGTCGAGCAACATGTTTTAAAAAATTTTAGAAATTTTTGTTGAAGCAAAACTCCATTTAAAGATTATTGAATGCAATAATGAAAGCAAATGCTGCAAGGTGCGGTTCAAATGATATAAGTAAAAAAGCTTTTACCAAGTTTCTAATTAACGCCAAGTTTACACTACCACCTTAACCGACGCATAACATATGCGTTCATATTTGGCATTTAATCAAAAGAAATTTCAAACTGATTTAAAGTTTGTTTTTTTTTTTTTTTCTTTTTTTTTTTAATTTGATATTAATTCGAATATCGGAATACGTTCTAATAAATATCCACACTCGGAATAACTGATTACAATATTCCAATAAGATATCTTTACTTTTTAATGCAAATATTTTCTTTCATTTCTCTTATGAATCGTATAAAATCGTATTTTGATATAAACAAAGTAAATGTCAAGTCAAGTTTTCTTTCCTTGCTGTCCAAAACGCATGTATAGAAGAACTCTTCCAAATTTCAAATCAAATGGTAAAATAGAACACAAAATTACCGTGCGTTCGAATAACGAATAACCCGAAAACAAGCATAGTTTGTCATTTGAATATACGTTGCTGCATTGTTTCTTAGCTATGCTATAACATCTTTCAAGTCTTCTAAGAAATTCTTTTAACTAATAATTTAAGATATGTGTAAATCATCCCTACCGCAATATGTGACCTATTGATAATAATTAATATCTTTAGATCATTTTAGTAGTATGGTTATTGAGAACGGAGAGAATGGATTGAGGTGAGGTGAGGTGAGGTGAGGTTTTATAATAACAATCTTGTTCAAGTCGATTGAATATTTTATATACCTACGGTTTTCGATACGATATTTGATGGCTTAAGGAATGCAACGGCCGAAGAAGGAATAGCACACAACTGCAACTGCAGACGAATATTAAAGCTTTACATAAGGTTTATCTGCATCCTTCCGTAAAAAGGGAATTGCGCACCACACTCAATATCGCTGGCTTATGTAATGTCTTAAGTTTAAATAAAAAAAATTGAAAAAAAATTTTGTACTATTATTATTATTATTATAAATAATTTAGTTAGCGAAATAAATTCGAAGACTAAAGTATTGAAGCACAAGCTACTACTACTCTGTTCTGCTCTATGCCATTCTCTAAAACAATAAATTTATTTTCGAAATAAAAAAGCGAAAATTTTTCATAAATTTCGTATGTACTACGAAGTCTTCAAGACTCTATGCATGGAACATACATAATACGTAAAATATTAACGTTTCTTTGAACAGGATATTGAAAGCATAAATACATTAAGAGCTTCTGCAAAGAATAAAGTAACACATTGAAGACTTACCTCGTTTTATATATGTTGGCCCATATTTATACTCACCTTGTTATGGATATATGTAAACATCCGCCTGCGAAAAATTTGATAGCAACAATAATTATTTTAAATAATTTTTTACAAAATTTCCAGAATCTATATTAAAGCAATGAATGTTTAAAATGTCCGCTGTTTTATGTAACAGAATGCTATGTTTTGCAAAAGAAATGCAACCTTAATGTCCGCTAACAAGAAGGATATTTTGGTTGATCTAAGTTAAATTTTTCAATTCCATCTTAGTAGCGCGGAAAGTAGCGATTTTTTTACGAAAAAGTTTAAATTAGATAAAACTTGCCTATAGCACATTGGCTTGCTTAGTCTAAAGCACGTAATAAAAGATGCGAAAAATATATTTACGTGCGCCGCCCAGGAATCAAGATGTCCAATATTATGTTGTAAGAGTTAAAGGAGAATGACAACCGTAACTGCATAAAACTTCATATCACCGTATTTGTGTTTAGGCGTTAACACTCCAATCAGATACGATCTGTCTAACTCGTGCATTGTAAAAGTTCCCAAATTCTTTTTATTGTAACTTTTTGTATTCTCTCGCTATTGTAAAGTTTAAGTTAAGTGCTTGTAATATCAGTTTGAAACTTATGCAAAAGCAATGTTGATGTTAAAAAAATAGATATGTAGAGCTAGTTCAGCAAGTCCGATCTGACACTAATCATTTTATGTACCTTATACATAGATGGGAAACATGTGTTTGAGTATTCACTTATCGAAAGACGTATTCATATGAGGAAAAATGCAAAAAAATAAGTCAATGAATTGTCCCTTGATTAACCTTGAATAGTTTACTTTTTGAAAAGCGCTAATATGTCCAACTGTTTTTTGATTTACTCACAATAGCAAAAAACATTTCAATTTTTATGTTTAATTCGAGCGACAATCGATGTAAAACACTATTATTTTTATCATACACATCTCATAAAGAAAATTGAAAGTTTTCTTCAAAACTTATTTAGTTGTTGAAGAGAGGAAAACTTAAAAATGATTTTATAGACACTTATGTAAAATTCTTTTCAACGATTTTCTGCATCTTTCTTCGGCCACACTAAGATCTTGACAATGTCAAATTTCTGCGATTAGATATCAAAGAATTTCCA